CCCCAAAACCCCAAAACCCCAAAACCCCAAAACCCCTTCCCTTTCAAGCCATATTGAAGAGATCGATGAATTAATAAATTATTTAATTTAGGCAAAATGGATTGAGATATCGAAGATGTAATTGCAATTCGCAAATATAAATAACTAGCTCTCATAATGTGTTCATTTCCTTACAAATCCTGAATAATAATGATTCTGTGTTGTAGATGATCCTTTGAGAGAATAATACAGTAAACGAGACCATATATCAAAGAAAATACCACCCCAATGAAATAGCCTCTAAATAAGGGCAAGATTAAGAAAATAGAAACAACTAGGTTCTTTGTTCACTTAGCACACTTATTTAAAAATAAATCTCGAAGGAATAAAAAGATTCTAAATGAAAGCAAACTTAAAGTGTGAAAGCAAGAGTGAAAAGCCAGACATGATAAAGAAAGGCTAAATTCATCAACTTGATTACAAAATTATAATAGGCTGCAGAGACTATCTTTGAGTAAAAATAATAGTCTTAGCAAAAGTGATATACAAAGGCAAGAGAAGATTGTTGCTCGAAAGTCTCAGTCTAGCCAAGCGTAAGAAATTTTATTCATATTAATTCTATTTTAACTAATTTTACTTCAAAAGATTGCAATTCACCTACAAACGTTTCAACTCATTAAAATTGAGCACCCTTTATTTTCTAATAATCTCTTTTAGAGTGAAAAGACACCAGTCTGAGATTACTTTTATCCAGCCATCTTTACTCTATCATAAAAGTAAGCACTAAAAATAACCCCAATTTAACTTATGCCTTGAATTCTGTAATCTTGCTACTCCAGTGGTATTGTATGCTACTATCCATTTTCCGACCCCAAAATTTCTAATCCTAATCCCTCTCATCTAAGCCACCAACTCTTCTTTCTTCGTATCTTTCTCCGTATCTTTCTTAGAATTCTAACTCAACCCTATAATCTTCAATTACATCACAATCCTCTCACCTAACCACCCTCCAGAACGGCCAAAGAAAAAGAACATTTCCCAGTTCTTCAAAATCTCCCACAATAAGTCATTACTCAAGAACAGGAAGAAGAGCCGTAGAAGTAAGTCCCTCTTTTGCTTACCTCCAATTCTATGACTAAGTCTGAACGTAAATATAGAAACAAGAAGAAGAGGAAAGAGAAAGCCTAGCATTGAAATATTCTACCTCAATGGGAACTAATTATAAAAAGTGTATTGAGACAGTTCAATTTGGGGGCCTGATGGGGTTTTGGGGTTTTGGGGTTTTGGGGTTTTGGGG